TTTGGTATATTTTTTGTTAAAATTGATTAATATTTAGTATTTTTAATTAAAGAAAGAAATAGTTTGTTTATAACTGATCACAGTTTATATATCCCGGATTATTTATTAATATTTTCTGGTAGGCAGTAGTAGACGGATATAATATTTATATATTTTAACTTTTAAATTAGCAATGTGATAAAGAAATGTTGACTTAATATAAGACTAAGATAAATTATAATTAATATTTTGCTGATTATAATACTTATTGTCGTTTAATATCAAGAAAGTATTTTTTCATGGTTACTCAAGAAAATCTATTATAATTAATATTAGTATAAGAAAATGTGATTCATTTAAAAGGATCAATTCTGTGAAATATAGGTTTACCTTTTGCATCTTGCAAGATTAATTTTCTGTCGATTAAATATCAAAATCTTTAGTCTATAAAGTTTATAATTTTAAGTTTAAAAGATTTTAATATTTAGTCGTAAGCAACAAAATCTTTCAAGATGCAAAAAATAAACCGGAAATAAATTAATTACGAGTTTATCTGGCTGAGCTCCCAGTCTTAACCAATAATCAATGACATATTGCACTGTTTGAGTTTCATTATCATTGTCTCCGGCATACAGGGGCGCCACGTGACCTAAATATTACCAAGATTAAATAATGAACATTGTTACTTTAAGTATCGTAATTTTGTATATAAATTACCGGTTTTATGTTCCCAACTGCCATGCATATCAAAAGCCATGACATTAATAAAGTCGAGGTATTTGTTCATTTCGGGCACATTGTAAGCCCTGTCCACTATTGACACATCGACTGACACGCCGGCTGTCAGGAGATACTCGTGCGGTTGGAAAGCCGTGCGAAGCTCGCGGAGTAAGTCAATGAATGCCTGTTTGTCGGCTGACTTACCAACCTTACGCCTTTCACTATCCCTGGCACTCATAGCCGGGTACTCCCTATTTATAAATTTTATAATTAGTGTACTGTATATTAAAATTGTTAATATAATATTAAGCCTGTAATGAATATAAAATATATTAATATGCTAGTTATTTTATGATGAAACGTTTAAATATGGTAGTTACTTGCATGGATTTAAAAGTTTTATTTTTATCTATACAAATTAATTAATAATCTTAATTATAATAATTAATTAATATGTAATTAATATTACTAGTATGGGTATAATTTATGTACCAGTTAATATCCAGACCATTAAATTTATATTTCTGTAAAAACTCGATCGTCGAGTTGACAAAAAATTGGCGACCAACAGGGTTGTTTGCCATTTGCGAGTATTTATCTGACCCATCATCATTGCCCCCTATGGCCACCAATGTTTTGAGCTTGGCATTATTTGTGCGCAAGTTATTGAACTGTTCAAACATCTCTATTTTTAAAACATTTACAAATTAATTTAGAAATACTATTAATTTTTGTACTTTCAAGAAATAGGCATGCACATTTAAAATGTATTATAAAAGTGATTTATGTTATGTTATAATTATTGAAATATTTTAAATATGTTAATTTTTAGCATTGCTAACTTTGTTGAATTTGCTAACTTATCATTTTATTCAATAATTATTATCTAAACAAAAAATATTAACCAAATGGCGTAGTCATCCAATTATATAAATTATTTAAATTAAAACCATAGTTGTAAATAATAATAGTGTGACCATTACAGTTTCTTACCAGGTAGATATTTTTATATTACGTTAGCTTATTATTTAAAACAAATAATATTTAATAAAAATATAGTACATTAAACAGAATATAATTATAAAAGTAATTAATGTATTAAATTCATACCTTTATCCCCATTTTGATTAACCAGCTCAATTCTATTAGTTGGGCCATCAAGCTTGGTAAATTCATAAATCATATGCGTACATAGTGTTGGGTCAAAATTAGTCACATTAAACTGTTCAGAGTAATTT